TGTCACATAAGCTGGGGCAACAATGATTTTTTTTGCGAACAAATTTGAGGGACGTCTAATTTCTCGATTAGGTGATGTCAACTGGCCACCAAGGTCACCGGATTGAACGGCTCCTGACTTTTTTGTGGGGATTTTTGAAAAATAGGGATTATGCCAAATACTGTAGAGCAGCTGAAGAACAATATTACAGAAGCAATTGAAATCTACCAAAAAATGATAAAAGGTGTAATCAAGGGGGCCCAGGTTTGCGCGGCTTCGAGAGGCGGACATTTGTCTGATATTGATTTTGATACATAATTTCTAAGTTTCATTAAAAGATTAAGATGAAGAAAATGGATTTTTTTATTTCATTTCACAAACATTCAAGACACAAACCAGTCCGTTACATATCAGCCACCCTAATGTGTGATATTGCGTCTAACAAGTGGACAATATTACTGGAAGCACAATTTTTTTTAATGATAAGACATCTGTCATGAATAATAAATATGCAACATTTACGATCCTCTACTTCCTATAGCCTAAAAAGCCAAATTTTAAATTTTCATAAAACTCTGAAAATTATATAAAGCTTTTGCTTTTTGCTCCTGGTTTCGCTGCCACTGCGGATTTTCAAAAACTTTATCTTTGGCATAGTAGTCACCTTGAGTGAACATTTCATCAAAATCTGACTTGCACTTTCAACGCTCTAGCGGGGACACGCAGAGCGACAGACAGACCGATAGAAATGAGTGAATGGGTTATTCGTGATGTACATGTCATATAATATGCAATAAATGTAATATCTCATTTCCAAAATTTGGTTTAATTGCAATGCTTCATCGCCAGCAGAGTGGGAAGGAAAAGTACAAAATCCAATCTGATCGATCAATTTTCAATATGGACACATTTTATTTACAGAACAAACTATGCGGATCACGGTTTCGAACTTGGTTTTTCATTTATGCCTCCAAGACAGTGCACTCTCTATATAAAATGGTCCAACTGTGTGACAAATCCTATATAAGATGAAAGTCATGGACACTGATAAGACCAGAGACGTATCACAAGTAGAAATATCAGAATCTCACAATAGAATTTTAAATACGTCTTTATTATTATTATTGTAATTATTATTATTGTCAACTGACAATAAGGTTCTAGTTCTGCTTTAGTTTCTCTTCTGTTAAGCTCTTGTATTCCAACTTGTCCATTACTGCCAATGTACAAAATTATCACAAACAGAAGCAACAATCAATTGACATCAGAATCTGTTGAGGTATAGTGGTATCTATGTATACTGCTTCAGTTTATGACATCCTTAACCTAGGATAATACAATGAAACCTAAACTAGCTCAACAGTGTTATCATTGCCACCGTCTTTGGATCAACGAACTCATCGTTCGTCATCATTTGTAATATAAGAATTCCTTATTTTTCATTTACGTGTGTCTGGAATGGTCACATGATGAAGAACACCTCAACAATGTTTTGAGTATCGAATTACATTTAGTTGGCGTCTGCATGTATTCATTGTAAGCGAAAAAGATCACTTTCATGTTTATACTTCGATCCAACGGATGTGCTGCAAAAATATGTCGCGACTACAGTTTTCGGAGGACTAGCTAGTGGGAAAGTTGTGATTTTGTGAATGCCGCTTCGTGGTGTACATTACTTGTGAAGTAAGTTTTAGCGGTGAGCAAAGCAAATCGTTACGTTTTTTTGAAGATTGTGGCTAGTAAATTAGTAATCCTATTTATGCTATTGTTACGGGTCAAGTCTAGAAGTAAGGTAAACTGGTGAGAGTAATAGCATCTACAGTAATTAGGAAAACGCTTTACTTAAATTGTAATACAAGTTTGGTTCCTCTACTGTCTCACAGATAACGCTTGATTTTCAGTCTATTCGGTCTGTCTAATGCCCATCTTAATTCGGGGACCATTCAAGTATCACGTAAGCAAATGGAGCGCTCTGCTTATTTGATTTGATGACATGGGCATGGGGGACCGGACGGTGGTTATGTTAGCAATATCTACTATATTAGTTTTTCGGATTTTCTACAAAAACTAGTTGATTTTGACTTTAACACATAAGTATGGCAACCCTGTTTGTCTGTGCTCGATTCCCCAAATATGGATGTGCTTACTTGATTAGAACCTGAGCTATAAATGCTCCTGGTAGAGATGCGTATAACCGAGTGGAGCGCAGAATGACTCATAACTATTTTGGGTACCAGAAACGTATTTGCAGAGGTATGGAGTTCCATGGAACATTGATGGTTATCATCTTATTGCAACGTATGTTGGGTCGGGCGAGCCAGATCTTCCTGGTATCCAGAACATGTAATTTTTACTTTGTAATTCTACGTAGGTACCTATTAGCCATATTTAGCACATCATAGGTTTCTCCGTACCGGTAGTGCAGAGAAAGGATGAACTTATTTTATGGCCATGTTTGACTGACTTGATACGTTTAGTTGTACATGTTACGCACCTCGACTAAATCCTGTATAAATTAATAGCGGCGTTGCAGAGTCAACCTACTCGACGTCATTTTATCTCAAAATTTCATTTTTGTAACTCTTGTCGTTGTTCATGACGTGTGCGACATTTCCGATAACACCCCCTTTGTCACAGAATACCTTTCTGGTCGTGTTATGGTGTATCAAAAAAAACAGTGATCAGAAAGGTGAGCAAGCAATCATACTCCTTCAGGCAATTCTCATATCAGATGCAAGGCATTGCATTCATTTTTCACATCAATTCACAAAAATACTAAGCCTAGTCGGCCATCTCGACCGGCTATCATCATGTCATTTTCACGTAGTTTGCAAGCAATGTACTAATTCGTCTAGGCTGTAAACAGGCGTTCTCATTGCTTACAAACCATAACTTGGGTGTAATTTAACCGGACTATCAACCGAATGTTTGTAAGCCATAATTTTCTACAATATCTGCTTGAGGTCGAGGTGTCCCGACGTCGGACAATGCCAAATGTGATTTTTTTTTAAAAAGAGATACTAGTTTCACTAGGCCATTATCATGCTGTTGACGTTACACCATAATTTAAAGAATATCTGATAAAAATGGTAGCGCTTACTGGAAAGGCGATGTTCGCTGAAACGAAATATGAATGACTAGATTGATACTAGTACGACCGAACTATTACTATCATTTTTTATTACCCTTCTAATAGTTATACGTTCACGCAATATCTGCGCAACAGCGCTCCAGTGCACGGCTCTTTTTAATCATTTCCACTCCGTCTTAAGTAACCTGAACCTAATTTGACCGAACTATCATATCTCTTCTAAAAATGTGCAAGCTATAACTCTGTCAGTTCGAAATGGAACGCCTCTCAAAAATTGATACTAATTTCACCGTGCTATAATCGTTCCCTCAGCCTATTGTTTACAAACCATAATTTTCTGCAATATCTGCCAATAGTGATAACGCTTGAGGGCAAGGCCTGCCGCTGTTTGCCAGTACGAAATGTGATGCCTTCGAAACAACAAGTGGATGAGTGAAACACCGCCTTGTTGACACAGGATCACGAACTGAATCCAAACGATGCCGCTTGTGGCATGTTCCGACTATTTCAGAGGCTCGCCAAAGATGTGAATATGGATTTATCTCTCTGTAAGCCTGCCCGATGTCGGCTGATAAAAAAGGCTATTTGTCTTGCTTATAGGTGAGATAGAAATGGCGATTTTGAGGATTGGGGTACAAATGTCTTCTTCCAGAGAAGGCTTTTTTAGTTGAGATTTGTATTTTGGAATCGTCCATACCCGAAATGACTTATATTGAAGTTTTGTTGTTTTCCACCAAAATCATCAACAAGCCTTCTCATCTGACCTGAAATTATAACTGACTACCGATTGAAGAAAGCATACTGATTGATGGGTAGATGAAATTCGCTTTGTGGGGGTTCCCCCTATCTGCAGGACATCATTTCTTAGCGCCCTACAAAATGAACGGCCAGTAGAAGCTTGATAAGTTGCTCTAGCAGATGTACGCCTATAAGACAGTAGCTTGTAATCTCCTTTTGAAGAAGTTAGTAGGATTGCCTCGAAACCACGTCCAGTATGACACACTGTATTTGGAAAGGTAGCTCCCCAAACATGGAATCAGTATCCCAAATCAGGCTTTATCTGGGTTTTGTATACGGTACTGTTGGAAGGTGAGAAATCATTTGCTAGCTTCAAATATGTATCCCAGCTTTTATTTTCTACTCCACTGTAGCGGTGCAGAAAAAGGCAAAAATGAAAAAAATAAAAATCATTCACACGTTGTTTTTCGATGTTCAGAGGGTCTTTATTGAAGGGCTAAAAAATTAAATGGTGGGGGAGGCTATATCTCGATTTTTTGTTGTAAGAATATCTGTACGCTCCCAACCTCGGTATTACTACACACCTATTAGACATATTTCACACATCATAAGCTGCCCCGTAGATCCGTCTTTAAATGAATGATACAGAAATGTTTTCCATACTTGTCTCCTTCTGCTATCTGGCCTCAACGCCCGGCGCTAGATTGTTCAGCTCATACTGCGGCGGTGATTCGGTCGGCGCTGCCGGGTCGGACGATATGGAAGGCGGCAACGTCAGATGGACGGTAACTATACGGGTAGGGCAGGGAAATAATACCTACTAATTGTATGTGCCTGTTTGACTGACTTGATCCATTTAATTCCTCTATTGTACATATTCGTAACTAATGTTTTTGTTACTTAACTTGTACTGAACTAAATCCCTCATAAGCTGTGTAGGGTCAACCTACTTGAGGCCATTTTTTTGAAGATTCACAGCAATCGGCAGGCAATATTGTGACTTCAAGTAAGACGCAACCATTGTCTTTCAATACATCTGCAAATCTTGGTTTGTCGTTCTGAATATTCGCATGCAAAGTAATGTCATCTGCGAAACTATGGATCGGATTTACCATGCCCAAAAACCTTCAGTCAGTTAACAACTAACGAAATGTGATTAACTAATACTAATTTACACTTTGTTCTGTTTCAGAAGGTTCCGAAGATGAAATAGAGGTTTCATCCCAGCATTCCGATACAAACACCCAATCTATGGAGACAACGATGATTCCTCCTCAAACAGATAACGATCCTCAATACACCACCCCCGATAGCACCGACAATTATTACTCGCTCATAGAAAATATCCCTAATTCCGAGGAAATATTCGAAAAGGCTTCAAATGGAAAGGTGGACATGTTCTACTTGAAGGAAGTTATTTTGGGTAAGTTTAGAACCTAACCATAGTGCACAAGCAGGTGAAAAGCTGACCATAGCTACCTATCAATGGTAGCAATTGCCTTCCTATGCATATATGCGTAAATAGACGCATCTATTCTAATCCAAAAATAAGTATAGTGTATTAGTTTTCAGAACCTTAGTCGCCTATTGAAATTTCTCTAAAATTGTGTAACATACTTTTGGACGCCATTATGGTACATTACAATATAGAAAGCTAGAGGCACTTGTACCGGGCACAACTACGTTTTCCGCGGGACTTGTTCTACACCACGTTGCAAACTATGCAAATTTATAGCATTTGTTGTTTAGCATTTCTGTAATGGAAACGTGCCTTTGGTTCGTCAGAACATTAAGCAAAATTTGCAAATTTTTTGTCCGCTTCAATATTCCTATGATCGGAAAGTTTCGGCCATGTTCTACCAAGGCAGTTTCCAATCAGGGTCTGAAACAAACTAGAGAGACTGTTAGACATGCATGGTCGAAGATGGTGTATTTTAAAACGAATTTCGTTCTTCTAGATTCGAATTTCATTTTAGCTACTGGAATCCTGCCAGGACAATTGGAATTGAAGGAGAATGGAGTCTTTGCTAAGACTAGGATAACGAAAGGGACGAGATTTGGACCTTTTCTTGGGAAATGGGCTAGTAATCCACAGGATGTCAGGTTCGCTTGGGAGGTAAGTCTTCCATTATACAGAAGTGCATTTTGCAACAACAAGTTTGGATGTACCATGCAAGAAACCTTTGGTTTCCATCTTAGTAGTATATCATTTAATCCCCGACTATGTCAAAATTCTGAAAAATCTGCACATCTATACAAGAAGAGGTACTACGCTCAGCCTAAGCTAAAAAATAGTATTTTACTATTTACGGACTTTTGTTCTTGATTTTGGTATTTGTTAAACGAAGACAAATGTTTATGCATTTGGTTTAATCTGAGAATTTTAGAGTCGCACGCTCATTGGCGAGAACAAACGTGAAGAAAACCGTGGTGATACATGTCAATTGCGCCCGTTAAATAAAGTGGCAAGTCGCTTTCCTTCATGTCAGTCCAGTACGAGAATTTTCATTTAATTACGTAAAAGGATTGACGGATTTAAAGGGGGCGGGCGGAGGGTTGGAGGGCTAGATTTAAATGTGAAACCTACGCACCCCTCCTTGGACGTATACCACCTCCCGCTCTTCAATCCCAATTGTCATAAGGGCATCATTTGCTCTTAGAAATGTTGCTTAAACATACAGCCACTGCCCCCACCTCTGCTCATTAATTTTCAATTTTCGGTAACGGCCTCCCCCCCTCCCTCTAGACAGATTCCTAAATCCGCCCTTGCGCGTAAAAGAACCCAGCGAAAGAGTTTTGTTCCTCTTCGCTCCCTTTCCCTCAATGGGCGTGGATCTTCTAAATCTAAATCTAAATTTTTTTCAGATCTTCAGATTGCCACATACCCCATTATTATGCCAACTGCCATGAATACGATCCCCGAAACCCATCTCCTTTCAAAGTCCTGTCCATCACCGAAAATTCGTTGAACCTAATTTCGTATTTCCGTATAAATATGTGTCAATTTCACGGTTCGATAAGCTGGATTATTTCTCCCTTATTTTAGGAAACACTCACTGTGTACACAGAGGGCCAATTCTCACCCTACAATTGAAAATCGAACCCTATTCTTGCATGTTACGAGTAACCGGATCTTTTCATACTCCATTCAGATATTTTTGACAATTTGTGCGATACTTTGCACCGCGATTGCACCAAAATTAGACCACTTGATGACAATGGGTGACATAGGTTCGTCTATGGTTGAGAAAAAGCGTTTTTTATGGTGAGTATCTGCAATAGATAAACATCAGGAAAAGTTGGACGTAAATTCTTAGCAACAAATATTAGGCTAGAATCGTCCACAGATGGGTGATCTGAATATAGCAAGTTCATATTCTATTTATTTTTCACTTTCCATTCTCGCACCTGTTATACAAAAAATATTTATTCTTACAGTATCAAGCTTTGACATAAGAGAATTTCTAACACTTAAACATTTATTATCTCTTACGACAGCTAACAAATCCAGTACAATCAATGTGCACCCATCTTCTTTACAAAATAGTTGATACAAGATGGATGATATAATTTGAGCTAAAATCCAACAATTCAAATTCCCTAGTTAGAAAATTATACAATGGGGGTAATACAAATTTAAATTCTTTTCTCGTTTTTCTGAATGACCAAACTAAGGAAGCCATTAAAATCAAGTTAGTTTGCGTTTTTTCTGATGCACAATCCACAAAGAACCATTGTTGCAGGATTCTTTTTGTAATCAAGTAGATATCAATTTCACAGCCCGCCTCAAATGCATCCAATCAAAATTTTCTCACAAATCAGACCGTTCTCAAAGAAATCCAGTATCCACGTTCCGCAGAATTCCTCACTATTGTCCGTCAAAATTCAAAGAAGAATTTGAATAACAAGATTAGCCTGCGATTCTCACTGTAAAAATAACATGTTTGTCCACATGGTAGGGTCGATGCGACAAAAATGACGAGTTGACACATGTCTGACGTCTATTGTGCTTCCAATTATGAATATAGACTCTCCCTTACATGCATGTCTTGACCTTTAGAAGTCCGTTTTGTAAGATTGTAGTCCAGTTTTTTATGTGGAAATATGTTGCGGAGCATAAGGGAGATTTCAGATTCTTCCAGAAAGGCAGAGACTGAAGTCACATCAGAAAAATCGGTTGTCCCAATAATTTATGATTCATAGTTCCATACATGTTAATAAATATAGTAACATTAGTCGTTGCTCATACTTAGGAATAAGGCATCCATAATCTAGTTCGACAGAAACTATGAATTTATAAGCTTTCCCGCCAATAATTAAAAATTAAATAGGAGATTGTCTCCCATTTTCGCAATCACGTTTTAACCTTTCCCAAATTTCGTACAGCCAGTATTTAAACATTTTCTATTTTCCTACTGAAAAATGCAATACTGTGGGAGACTTCAATAAGACGAAAACCACGGATTTATAAAATTTTAGTCAACTATTTGAAAAAAAGGCGGTCAACTTTCCTTGTACAAATTTCACACGATTTGGTATACAAATTTCTATAGATTTGTTTTCTTATGAAGATTAGTATAACATAGAAAAGTATCAAGCCGTATATCTTTGTTAACTTAGGAATAAAGTCAATTCCATTTAAAGCAAATAACGTCATTTATTAGTACAACATTTTGAACATACAAAAATTTCACCTTACTAATGGCTGCATATGCTCTTGTTAATAATATCACCATTCTCTGCTCTGCAGAAAAGAAAATAGGCCTTGCTCAGTACTGTTAGCTTCAGGCAGACGAAGGAAATTACGTGTTCTCCATTTTTCAGTACGTCGTTTGCAACTTCAAATTCTATACACATACATATGTTTAAAAATAAGAAATATCAGTGTTTCATATATGATATTGTGCACTACTTTTTAACTTACCATTTGGACCAACAAATTCGAATGGACTAGGGGGAGACGTCTATATTATGTTTACATTGCATTGTTTGTCGCCAAAATTGCGTAGTTTTAGTGTATACCTTTGGCTCATTTGTCTACCGATGCCCCAAGTGACAGCGTTATATCAGCATAATAATACTCACCGGAGGAAACATCCATCTTCATTAAAGTTGGGTCGCTCTTTGCTAATTGTGTAATGAGAATTATGTCTTAATATCGTATCTGCAAACACTCACACATTTGAAAAATACTACTTAATATACGAATTTAATGACAGAATTGTCAAAAATTGAGTTGTTATGTGATCATTACTACAAACTATAAATTAAGAGACAAATAAATCATTGACTAGCTCCTTCTACATAGTATATTCGTGGTTTGCACCTTCAAAATCTGAGTTACAGCTATGACATATTTTAATCAAGCCCAAGAACATTCTATACAGATGCCCCCATAAAACACATCATAAACGGAACTCAATACCCAAAATTTGCATATGTGTCAATCGTATATGCAAATGCTTGTCAAACCTGTCAATCATCTGCGAAGGGTCAAGGGTGATCTCAGCTACCCATAGTATTGATTATTGAATACAATACTTATTAATTGGTGTGAGTAAAACGAACATGAAATGTAAATCAAAGTGTGACGGGAACATTGAGATCTAACGGTTGCTCTTATGCGACATCTTATCAACAGCAGTGTACCGTTTGTGAAAGTCAAAAATTCGCCAATCATGGCCCACCAAACGAATTAAAATTTGCTTTAAGGTAAAACACCTTCTGAGGTATTATAAAGGAAGGTTTGACCTTTAATTTAGTCCATCCATTGGCAAGCTTTTCGCCTCGTCTAATTTTCCAGCATTTATTCAAAAATAATCACTGGATACTGGAGATAGTGAAGTCATTAATTGATTTGGAATAAGCTGAAAAACGAATTGCCCATATTCTCCTTAAATTTGCCAGATTGTGGCAGTCGATCTCATGAAGGCTTGGTGTGTTAGCAAAGGAAGAACTAGATTTTCGCGGAAAAACACTAAAATTATATGTACCTTGTACCAGCTGTTTAACTTTCTGTATACAGAGTGTAAACGTTATGATAGTCATTATTTAAATGGGTGATAGAGGGGCTTAAAAGACTCAAAAAGTTCCCTTTAACATGGGGGTCAAAACGGCATTTTTTTAGAGAAAAGCGACTTTAAAGTAAAATAAATCTGACAACGCCGCAAAACTATTCAAAAGAATAACTAACCATTGATACCGTTTGCGATCGATTAGTATGTTTTAAATATTCAATTTCATGAAACTTACTTTCTTACTGACTACAAATTTGGGCTTAAATTAGAAAAACTTAATGCCATTTATTTGTTAATTACCCAATTCAAAAATGTTTTAGATTAGATTATAAAAATTAGTAAGATTGTGGTGATTGTGGTCGACATAAAACACTTAAAGTTGTAAACTATTAAGCAATTTCCATCTCAATAATGACTACCATAACTTTTACACCCTGTATACATACTAAATTGATACATTGTCATACTAGGTACTGTATAATGTGATTTGTGGCTTTAGAGGAACATTCGAGGTGATTGGGGGGAATTTGGTTGTTCCCTACAATTACTTATTCGTAACTGAAGAATAAAGAACTTCCACGGTATACAGTGATATAAAATTGACGATGCTATGATTTTTACTGACTGTACATTTATGGGGCAAGCGTCCTTTATCTTTAACAACACTTGTTAAACGAATCTGCTTTGTTCAACTGACAATACAAGAGGAACCGTAGATAGAACAATGTTCAACTTTGTGTGTCGTCGACATCGAAGCTTTCCTATTTAACTATTTCCTTCAGGAAACGCTTGGGGCAACCCATTTTGAGCGCCAATCTGTCCATTCATCTTCTTACAATAGGAGTGCCTGAAACATAGAATGTGCATACGGCTCTATAAACAAATGTGTGAGTGATAGACTTGTATGCGTTTGATAACTTGTACTTTCGGTACTCCAGAAACCTGTCAAGCTTTGTATTCCAAGTTTTTAATTCCCCTTCTTGTGATTTCGTGAATCTCCAAACAATCCGTCAGCCATCAAGAAAACATCCCCACATACCCCGAAAAACTAATTACAAGCTTGTAAAACACGCGCTTAGGGAACTTCTTAAACGCTTCG